AAGAGAGAAGGGAGGAAGGATAGGATGATGAGAGAGTGGATGGCCTGAGGAAAGACCAGAAGGGGCCACATCTGGCCCCCAGGCCTGGGTTTACTTATACCTGAGCTATAGGCTCTGCCAGTGCTGTTAATAATCTCTACCCTTAACTTGTTGTCCATTATTTTCTGGAAGGAAATTTCTGCATCAGTATCCTAGAATATGAAATTAACCCATGTTTCCATTCTATAATTCGTTTTTCTTGGTTTATGTACTTCAAACCACACCTTCTGTTCTCTTGATATGAGCCCATGAAACCAGTTGGTTCTCACATTACTTTGGCTTTTCAGTTGAGTTATTCAACAAAGGAGAAAGGTAGTAAGCTTTTAAATATGTTTCAACTATGTTTTATTGTCTGCCATCTGTTTTTCTCACCTTGGATTCCGGTGGCAACTCAACACTCCCTCTCTCCAGGTTATGCAATAAAGAACCCTAACCTTGGTACTTGTTTACAGTCCCATTCTCAAATGGAAGATTTGAACAAATGTCAGTACTAGCTTTTCCCAACTTAGTGGTATCCTAGCTGTTGGATTACAACTAACACAGCCCCAGTATATTTATGGAAGTTGTCATCCAATCTCTTTTAAGCCAACATGGGGGACCTTCAACAAGGTCCCCCATGACCTTCTGGCAAACAAACTAGTCCAATGTGGGCTAGGCAAAACTACGGTGAGGTGGATCTGTAATTGGTTCAATGGACGAACCCAGAGGGTGCTCACCAATGCTTCCTCTTCATCCTGGAAAGAAGTGACAAGTGGAGTGCCGCAGGGTTCTGTCCTGGGCCCGGTCCTGTTCAACATCTTTATTAATGACTTAGATGAAGGGCTAGAAGCATGATCATCAAGTTTGCAGACGACATCAAATTGGGAGGGATAGCCAATACTCCAGAGGACAGGAGCAGATTCAAAACGATCTTGACAGATTAGAGAGATGGGCCAAAACTAACAAAATGAAATAATAGAAAGAGATAGCCAATACTCCAGAGGACAGGAGCAGGATTCAAAACAATCTTGACAGATTAGAGAGATGGGCCAAAACTAACAAAATGAAGTTCAACAGTGACAAATGCAAGATACTCCACTTTGGCATGAAAAATGAAATGCAAAGATACAGAATGGGGGATGCCTGGCTCGAGAGCAGTACGTGTGAAAAAGATCTTGGAGTCCTCGTGGACAACAAGTTAAACATGAGCCAACAATGTGATGTGGTGGCAAAAAAAGCCAATGGGATTTTGGCCTGCATCAATAGGAGCATAGTGTCTAGATCTAGGGAAGTAATGCTACCCCTCTATTCCGCTTTGGTTAGACCACACCTGGAATATTGTGTCCAATTCTGGGCACCACAATTGAAGAGATATTGACAAGCTGGAATGTGTCCAGAGGAGGGCGACTAAAATGATCAAGGGTCTGGAGAACAAGCCCTATGAGGAGCGGCTTAAGGAGCTGGGCATGTTTAGCCTGAAGAAGAGAATGCTGAGAAGATATGATAGCCATGTATAAATATGTGAGAGGAAGCCACAGGGAGGAGGGAGCAAGCTTGTTTTCTGCTTCCTTGGAGACTAGGAACGGAACAATGGCTTCAAACTACAAGAGAGGAGATTCCATCTGAACATGAGGAAGAACTTCCTGACTGTGAGAGCCGTTCAGCAGTGGAACTCTCTGCCCCGGAGTGTGGTGGAGGCTCCTTTCTTTGGAAGCTTTTAAACAGAGGCTGGATGGCCATCTGTCAGGGGTTATTTGAATGCAACATTCCTGCTTCTTGGCAGGGGGTTGGACTGGATGGCCCATGAGCTCTCTTCCAACTCTTTGATTCTATGATTCTATGATTCTATGAATTGAATACAGAAAAGCTACCCAAAATTATGAATATGCTGTTGCCAACTAGGCCTGTAGGAAGTACAATAAGTCTAACTTTAGTTGCCCTAACAGTCTACTTGTCAATCAGTTCATCTGTGTTTCTCCTAAATATCTAAATGGGAATGAAACAGAAACATGGGAATGGAAGAATATCAAGATTACTGTTCCAGTTAATATTTTGTTACCAAGTGTTCAATATTTATTCTCCTGGTCTCACCTTATTGTTTAACTTTGCCTATTCTAATAATTTTATTTACTTTGAAAAATGTTCCAGTTTTATTCAATTGCACTTACCGTATATACTCAAGCATAAGCCGAGTTTTTCAGCCCTTTTCTTAGATTTAAACCACCACCACCACCACCCAGCTTATACTCGAGTCAAGGTTGTTATTTTGCTCTGTTGTTGTTGTTGTTGTTGTTGTTACACATTATTTTACTCTATTATTATTACAGTTTCATTATTTTACTCTATTACTATTACATTTCCATTATTTTACTCTATTATTATTTTATTACATTTATTATTTTACTCTCTATTATTATTGGAAGGATATGTAAGGACATTTACATTGATGAAGGTTAGAATAATGGTTTAATCAGAATTGGACAGTCTTATCTTAAATGACAGTTTTATGAAAATAGTCAAAAACATTTAACCTACTGATGCTACTATTTTTATTTTGAAATTTACATTACATTTCTCACCCTCGACTTATACCTGATTCAATACGTTGTCCCAGTTTTGTGGTAAAATTAGGTGCCTCAGCTTATATTTGGGTCAGTTTATACGCGAGTATATACAGTACTACTGTTACGGGTAAATAAAGTCACACTAACAGTGTCACTTGTTCCTCTTGAGTGGTGTTAAGTGAGGAGCAGGGAAGTAATTCCTTACTAATTTTCTTCTTGAAGAAAGTAATAAGTAATTTGAGCCATGTTTTTCACAATATAAGAACATCTTCGAAAGCCAGGCACTTTGCAAAGCCTATTCGCAATTCAGGACTTATTTCATAAAAAATCCACCAGTTCAGGAAACATTACTTTTTTGGCAAAGGAACAGCATTTTTGATTAATACAATAATATTATATATAATATACAGCATGTACACCAGCAACAACAATAAAATAAAAGTGTTGTGCAAATCATCCATGTGGGTTTTTTTTTTTCTGCAGAAGACATTTCCAAGTATAGTATGTTATGCACCAGAAACAACTTTTTTTCTGGGCAGAAAAAAACTCTTTTCAGATTTTGTGCTGCAATTTCAAAGATTTTTGTCCTCTAAGATTTTTCTCATTGGATTTTTCTTAACACTCAAAAAGCATGAATTTTGACCATTTTGACCATTTCAAAATATTATTTTAATCCCTAAAGTGTCTGTATTAAATTGTAGTCGGTGGGTATGAGTTTAAATCCAATTGTTAATCTTAACTAAAGTCATTGCTTCAACAGCTGATTCAATGGGTGTTTTTAAGTGTATGAGAATGAGTCAGCTCCTTTTCACTCAGGAAATAAATACATTCAGAGTCAAATGCCTACCTAAGTAGTAGCCTTATAACCTTTAAAAAGTGGTTATGGGAGCCCTAAAGAATTAATCTTTGGGAATAGGAAGGTAAAAGCTAAGTTCAAGACCAAATTTTCCACTACAATTATGTGAAGTGTTTCCTGGTAAGTATCTACTACCTGAGCCCAATACTAGATAGTGACTAATCCATTGAAAATTGCTATAACTTTGGACCAATGGAATTTGAAGCTATCCAACAGTCTTAATGGATGTTGATACTGCTTGCTTTTGTCCCGTTGGGGTGTTTTAGATTCACGAGTGACTTTCACAGATTGTATTGGCATTGACTTGCGGCCAGAACTTCACATCTCTGTCCAAGATCTTTGCTGCTACGCACTCTTAATGATATCACTCCTTATCAATCCTTTACCTACCTAAGTGGTTTGTCTAGCAAGGATCAAGGGGTGCAAGATATACCGTAAGTAGCTATTGAAAAGCTTATTGAATATTTGCCATTTGTGCTGAAACAAAAAGACTTTTGTTCATGAGCTGAAGTGAACCCTCATCACTGTTTCAACTGCCACGATTGTCCTACAGAACTTGCCTATGATTGTGGGATATTTGCCATTTGAACTGAAATAAAGGTTGAACTCAATCACTGTAAGACTACCATTACTGTTTTGTAGGGCCTAAGAATGTTATTCGTTGCTTCTATCCATAATTCACCAGCAAGTGTTGTTCTCTCCCACCATTACATGAGTCCGTTTGGACAATCCTTTCATTATAATCTACCCATCTTACCTGTCTGAATGTATCTCCCTCTACATCCTGCCTCATAGGTTAAGATCATCTGGGGAGGCCCTGCTCTCGGTCCCACCAGCCTCACAAGTGAACTTGGTAGGGACGAGGGACAGGGTCTTCTCAGCAGTGGCCCCACACCTGTAGAACTTGCTCCCCAGAGAGATCAGGTCCTTTCTTTTAGGAAGAAGGTTAAATCATGGTTCTGGGACCAGGCCCTTGGACAGCAAGCATGCCAGCACCTTGAATGTTGAATCAGACTGAAATTGGCTATATGGTTGATGACAATGTTTTTAACATGTTTTTAACTTAATGTTTTATTTACTGTTTTAAACTGTTGCTATTTGTGTTTATATTTGTATAATATTGAGGCTTCTAATTGTGGCCAATTAGTAAGCCGCCCTGAGTCCCCCCTTGAGGGTTGAGAAGGGCAGGATAGAAATATTGGAAATAAATAAATAAATACCCAAGTTAGAAAGTTTGGAGTGCTAGAGTGTAACTGTTGGTGAACCAACTCCTCTGTCAATGCATGCTTGTTCATGCAGAGGTGTCTCTCCAGGCTACTCTAGCTACTTTGGTCTATGATTTCCCAGTGCGATACTAGACCAGGCACAAAGTGATCATTGGTGGCTCTAGTTCAGGTTTTATTCTAAACTTCTGAGCTATCCAAAGACCAAAATCTATTATGGAGATAGGGTTGAACAGCTTGGTCAGCTGATTTAAATTTCAGACCAAAACCTGGAGTGGATTCTTCCTTGAACTGAACCCCTGTCTTCTGCCACCATTCCATAACTACAAGAGACACATATTTTCTTCATATTTCATGTTCTTTATTCTTTTCATTCAGAATTCATCCAAGACACACAGGAGTCTTGAGTTGCTTTGGGGGAAAGTTAAATTATACAACACAATGAAAGTGGATTAAATGAAGTTACTTTCCAGAAGGAGGCCAGTGATGTTGAGTTGTCAACTTTTCAGGCCAGGCTGGAGGCCGGTGTGCACTTGGCCTTTGTGACGAGACTGTGCACCTCTTTCATTTCTGTTTCACCTGTTTTAATATTATCACAGACTGATTTGCTCACGCAGCCCTTCTGAAGAGTTCTGGCAACAAAAGTTCCTGAATAGGAAAAATTGCACAGGGTGGTTAAAAACAGCCACAGATTCTCACTCACCTTCTATCCAAATTAAATAAGATCCAAAGAACACTCCCCATTTTTCTATCAGGAATTGATGAGCCAAATGGAGAGGTTGGTTGGCAAAATTTGTTTCAAGTCCTGGAGATTCCTCTGAGATATATATATATATATATATACACACACACACACACATACACACACACACAAACACAAATCTCTTTCTCTCTCTCTCTCCCACACACACACACACACTATCCAGTCGTTCCATAAATGGGTTAAATATCCTATTTGTGAATGATACCAGTAAATATTTGTTCATGGACAGGCAAACCCATTCTACATACTATTTACACATTGTTCCTCAAGACAAATGAAAGGCAAGGAGAACTTTCTCCTCTGACTCTAGTTGCTCTCTAAAAGAATAGCTTTGAGTCCGTTTTGATACTCTTTCCAAACACAAATCTACTCTACTTATGCACCAAGAATGTCTAGTGTCCAAACTAGCTGTAATGCTGAGTAGTGTTTAATGTATTTTAATATGTTTTTAATGGGTTTAATGCTCCAGGTTGAATTTATTTTAGTGTTTATGCCTCTGAAACTATGCAGATGTATCGTGTACATTGAACTCCTCCTGAAATGGAAGAATTTAAAATGATTGTTTGTTTACTGATGGGTCTATGTTGTTGTTATTAGTATTTATTAGGGCTGTCCAACCACGGAAAAATTTGTTTCTAAACGCGATTCGTTTTTAGGGGTTTTTTGCGTTTTGTTATTTAAAAGAATTCCGAAATTTTTCTTTAAAAAAGTTCGATATTTACGAAATTTCGGAAATTAAAACAATTTCGAAACAATAACGAATCAATTCGTTAATGGCGGACGCGATTGCGCAATACGCTAAAAAACCCTCCAAATGGGACAGGGGGAACTTCTGAAGCTTCCCTCTCCCTCTGTTGTTGACTGTTGGTGTGATAATTTATTTTTTTATCACTGATAAAACAAACAACAACTATAAAACTTGCACCAGACATACGGAAATAATAACGAAACAATTACGAAACAATTACGAAACAATTACGAAATAAATTTTAAAAATTCGTTTCGATTTTTAGTTGCTCCTGAATGGTTCAATATCGCTTCGTTATAAAAAAAATGAATTAATAATGAATTACGAAATTAACGAACGAAACCACCCAGCCCTAGTATTTATGTGTTTAAGGTTTTAAATTGTTCATAGTATTTTTTAGTATTGTTAGCTGCTTTGAGTCTCTTTTAAAAGTAAAAGAAATGGGATAATGATGATATATCATACTAAGCCTGATGATCAATCAGGTCCTATGGACTTTACAGACCAAGAGATAGTATATATCATGTTGATGGAGATAGGTTGTAAGGATTGCAGCTGGAATGCAAGAGCTAAAATCATGGTGTGGCATGACACTTTGATTCCTCTCATCCTGTCCCTGGCCAAAATAGAAAAGGTGTAGCTGCACTGCATATAACTGTAATTGTATAATTGTAATTGTTTGTGCTGGCATTGAATTTTCCACATTACCTATGTGGAAACCGCTTTGAGTCCCCTTCAGGGTGAGAAAAGCGGTATACAAATACTGTAAATAATAAAATAAATAATTAATACATATAACCTATGAAATTAGAATTACCATAAGTAACAGTTACAGCCAAATCAAGACAGTTGTCTTCTGGTCCAACACACTCCACAATCTCATCCTCATTGCAACTGCTGGGTGACACAGCATAGCAGGATGGACAATGCTTTCCATTGGTTTGGGTGATCAGTGGAGGAACTGTAAACAAATCAAGCAAAGCCTATTAACATGCAAGATGAAGGAATGATTGAGGACAATGCAAAAAAAAAAAAAAACAGAATAGAATAGAAAAGTCCTACAACCCACAGATTTTCTTAGAACTTTCCAGCCAGACATCAGATAACAACTACATGCAATTGTCAGGAAAGTAGTATGGGAATTTTATTCTGTGGAGTCACTGTTGTATCATTCCAAGTAAGGTAGGCTATATGAGAAAATAGTTTTATCTTCATGTCAGCCAATCTTTTCCACATTTCCTAAACTCAACAACACTTTGATTCTATGGATGTAGAACTTCAGTTATGCCATTCTCCACATGCAAGAATAAAGAATTTCAGGTGTGTTTCTCCCTTGTGAGTGAGACTACAAGACATTTTGATGTGGTTTCATGGTACCATGGGCCCATCCAGACAAGGCCCAAAATGCTCGAGCCTGTGCACTTTTATTGGAGGCATCCAAATGACATCTCCGGTAAAATCGAACTAGTTCAAGACACAGCAGGAAATTCCTGTTTTGTATCAATTAATGTGACAGCCAGAGAGGCCCAGATCTTTCATAAGATTCAGGTCTTTCAAGGTGTGAGCCCTGTGTGGATCGCATCACGGACCCAATCCACACTGCTGTCTTGGGATTTCTAGGATGCTAGAGCACAGAAAACCAAGCCAGCATGCAACCTCTCCCACCCCCACCCCTGCAAAAAGCCTAAGAATTAAAAATTATTCACCTGGCACCATGAAACTGATGCCGGAGTTCTCCTGGCGCATAAAAAGGATGCATCAGGAGAAGGGGGCCAGGAGCAATCCCCCCCCCCCCAATAGCACATCATTTTTATGTACCAGGAAGACTCCTGCAGCAGTTTCATGGTGGCCAGGTGAATAATTTTTAATTCTTAGGCTTTTTCTGGAGGGTTTTGTTTGGTGTCTGGGTGCCCTGCCAGAAGGTCTAGCAGGACATCTAGACACTCCCAAAAAAAGTGCAGGTTTTGTGGGGAGGTGTGCAGATTTTAACCTGCACCCAATTGGGTTTCTTAAACCCAATTGGACGTGGGTTAAAGGTTTGTGTGGAACCCACCTATGTAACACAATTTTTGTTCCTAGGTTATTAATGTCATTTCATAATTAGTTCTATTATAAAAATATAGAATTTTTTTATTAAACTGCAAAAACTTTATTCCACATGTCAGCAACCATATAATGTCCATGAGGAATATCTGGAGCCTCTTGCAGCGCGGTTTGCCGTAGGTTTTCCATGAATATCTCACTGAGTCTCAACTAATTCAACATATCTTCCGGGGAGGCCCTGCTCTCGATCCTGCCCGTCACAAGCGCAATTGGTGGGGATGAGAAAGAGGGCCTTCTCAGTGATTGCCTCTCAGCTATGGAACTCCCTACCTGGCGAGATTAGATCAGCCCCCTCCCGCCTGTCCTTCAGAAAGATGGTAAAAACTTGGTTTTTGGACCAAGCCTTTGGGACAGTGCAATAAGGCAACAATAGGATCTGGTATGGCTGATCTGAGATGGCTTTAAACAATTGTTTTTAAAGTGGAGATAATTGATTTTAGCCTTTATGTATATTTATAGTTTATTTTATATATGTCATTTTATGTTATTGAATGTTTGCCATATATATGTTGTGCTCCAACCCTTTTCAGGGTGAGAAGGGTGGAATATAAATGTTTTAAATAAATAATAGTTTGCGGCAGCCACAAAAATGAGGTTTCTGGAATATAACACAATTACTTTCTATGTAAGGAGTGCGCAGTTAAACAGGAAATAACATTTTTTTTCAAATTTTGTTAAATAATGTAATTGGCAACTTTTTTTTGCAACAAGTTCCATAAAGAAAAACATGCAGAGAAAATATAGTCAGCCCTCCATACTTGCTGCAATTAGTGACACAGAAAGGTAAGCATAGATTTGCATTAGAGAACCTAGGGATTCCTAGAGATATTTCTCTAGAAATAGCTAAGACCTCCAGCAAGACTGAAGAAAGTTGATCATAGTGTCATACTTGAGACATGCTTAAGATATCAGAGGCTTTTAATAAATATCTCACTCCCCCGCCCCCCTTCGCTCCCAAAAGGCCTCCTAATGACTCCATTGACAATTGAACATAAGAAATGCTTGGAAATCCACTTTTGTAGAACAGATTCAAATATTTGCCATTTAATATTTTAATAATCAACATTAAATATTAATAGTATTATTTGAAATGGATATATTAACTGAACATATTTAAATTACCATTTTCATGTGAATTCAGTGAATAAACATAAATACAATGGACATGACATTGAAAAACAATTGAACTATCCACCCTTAGATGCATGGAAATGGCTATAAAAATATTGAAAAGTATATTATGATAAGTAAATACACATTAGAAAAAAGTAAACTTTACTTTGTGGCACTGCTGTTCGACAGGCCTCTCCCACACAGCAAATAGTGTTTGATCGTATTTTCTTTCCTTGTCCAAAATTCATATAGGTTACCCCAACTTTACAGACACTGGAAGAACCACAACCTTTAGCAATGGTCTGAATTGTATCTCCAACTGCAGAAGTAAAATGAGAAAACGTTTGTTAGATAATATGTATACATGAAAAAAGGTAGGCTTGTCTCTGAAGGTAGGGTTATTTTTTCCCTTCTGACAGTGTGTGATAGTTGAGATTTCAAGAAGCCATGATTGCATTAGCTAGTCTAATGTTCTCATATCTTTCTTCTAAAATAAGGATGGGAATATCAGGTCCTTTGAGTCAAATTTGGCGCATCTCAAATCTCACTTTGCCCCAACCCAAATTTTAGCAGTCTTTATCATGATAAAAATGTCAAGCCAAAGGCTACAGCTTAGAATTTGGTCCTGTCCTTTTGATTGTTGGCTCCACACATCACTTGGGCTAAAAAGAAATTCCCAAACTTGCATGATATCTTAGTGCCTTCAGGCTCACAATCTACATGGCACTTTGACTTTGTAAACACATCTCGTCAGGGAAAATGTCAACGATAATAAACACCATAACTATTTATTTGATGTTTGATGTATATCTTCCATCCAATGATGGCCTGCCTTATCCTGTCCAATGGGAGAGTCAAAAGCAAGTTATTTCACACATAGTTAGATGTGGTTCCTTTCACCAACCTAGTGTATTTTCAGTCACAGCGATGATGCAGGTATCATTGCCAGCACTACAAATCTGGAGGCCACCTGTGCAGCTGGTGCCAAGGCCTGTGCAGACTTCGCAGTACAATGTGTTGCCTGGAGAAGAAACAATAGAAAAGATCACATAGTTGTTCTTAGGTGCCTTCATGTCAACTCTGACTTAGATAACCCTGTGATGAGATTTTTTTAGAGGAAGATTGCCACTGCCTCCCTGTTGTGCTGGGAGAGTATGACCAGCTAGAGGTCACCTAATGATTTTCTGTGACCCACTGGTCTTCTGCAGTGTTGCCCAGTGGGATAACCCATAGTTTCACCCCCAGTTGCTTGTTGCCTCCCCCAACAGACCTGCTAACAATGTCACATCTTTTCATGCATCCCAGCTCTGCCTCTGCTTCCCCCTCAAATAGAAGGGCAGAGGTAGGTACTAGGGTTCTTCTATTGCCAACATCTTAATGCTGCCTATGGCCAAATCTCCCAGCACCCATTGTGATATCTCTCTCTATTCATGTCTCCTTTACTCTTGCTGAAATTAGTCTGTGCCAAAAAAAAGGGGGAAAGAGGAGGGAAAGAATGTAGAAATAATAATAATAATAATAATAATAATAATAATAATAATAAATAATAAACTTTATTTATATGCTGCTCTGTCTCCCGAGGGGGACTCAGGGCGGTTTCCAAATAACTTCACCAAAGCATACAGAGTAAACAGCATAACATAAAATTAACAAAACAACATAAGCATAAAATTATCACAATAAAACACATATATTAAAAATAATCCTGCCTGTTCAGAGCAATTAAAAGGCCAGGCTGAGGCTAGTGCAATCTCAAAATATGAGCGGACCGGGAATTAAGTACAGTGCTATAACAGGCTAACAGCAATAGCAGGTACAGATCTGTGGCTGCTCATTTCCAGGGCCTATTAGAGGAATGACTGGGGTAATAGGTAGGAAGTATAAGGCCATATTCAACAATATTTGGAGCTGGGCTAGAACTGGTCATTCTCAAAGGTTTGTTGAAACCACCAAGTCTTCAAGCTCTCACCAAAGGAGGGGAGAGATGGGACCTTTCTTATTTCGATCCCATCATCCTCTCCCTAGTAATTACAGTTACCTTCTCTAGTATTATCCACTCTTCCCACACCATCCCTTGCAAACCCTTCTTGATGCCCCTGGTTTTATGGTGTCCTAAGACAACACTCAAATCACTACATCATGCCAGAAAAGATCATACACCATTTCATTTGTCATCAAGAGGCATCTCCCAATTTTATCCATGCAGTATTTCATTCAGAATTTGGAAAGGCAACTTTTTTGGATATTTTCTGGTATAGGGCAGTCATCAAGAGAACTTGTATCACATGGCAAAACAATAGTAGCTGGTGTGTCCCACATCACTGAGGCAGCAAATCTATTCTGGGTTTTAGTCTTCACTTTAAGAGATTCATGTAAGATGCTGAACATGTTTGGGAAATAAGGCTCAGAACCTTGGATAGCACTTTAGAGCTCGGCTTAAAACCAATCCCAGGTTTGCCATCTCACTGACATGCTACTTTATCACACTAGAGAATGAATCCACTTTAAATCTGGTTTCTGCCTCCTGCAGAATTCTGGGGTTTGTAATTTAGGGAGCTTCACCAAACTACAAACCCCAGAATTCTGCAGGAGGCAGAAACCAGATTTAAGCTGGATTCATTCTCTAGTGTTACGAAGTAGATGGAGGCAACCACCTGTCATTATGTGAAAATGAATACATGGAAGAGGCAGCATGTTGGGGAAGAATAAAGTCCTAGAAAGAATCCTGTTTGATGAACAGCCATGAAATAATAACAGATAAAGAACACCGAATTAAACAACAGCGATGTTATTTCATCGAACACTTATCTCTAATCTGTGCCAAAACTAGAAAGAGGCAGTGGAGGTATTTCACCCCACTATCTGCCAATTGACACCCTGTTTACAGTCACTAGTCTTAGCTGATCATCAGAGACTCCCAGATTAAGTGCATAGTAGGCAAAATTAAATAAATGAATAAATAAATAAATAAATAAATAAATAAATAAATATTTTTGTCAAAAGGTAAAGGGAAGAAAAATCCTACTAGCTCCAAGGTCAATCAGCAATGCTCACACTGCTGTTAAGGTGGGAGTGTGGGTTGGAAGAAGTAAAAAAGGGAAGTGAAGGGGCATTTGAGATTTAAATAACCACTGGCCACCCACACTTCACCACATACAGTATCGCAGTGCCTGGCACCTTGATGCAATACTTCTTGGCCTCTCCGATATAGAGGCCATCAAAGATGGCCCTTTCCTACAACACTGTGTGCTACATATTGTATTGACCTACATATGTAGGTCATATTCCTCTATCAGATACAAAACCCTTTTTACCTGAAGTAGCAAGAAAAAGGCAGACAAGGACTCCCAGAAGAATCTGCATGATGACAATGGTGAATTCAAAAGGATAGCTTCAGAAGCAAACTGTATCTGTAATGCAAATCAACATAATTTAATAAAAATCTATTGATAGAATTGAAGGAAATTGATTCTAAACAGGTCAATCAAAGAGTGGAAGTTGATGACTTCTGCATCACTCAGTCCTGTCTCAGTTTTAGCCTGCTCCTTAAAGAAGATATCAAAATACTAAACCCTATTTTGGTTATTCTGGAATATATTCCACATGCCAAAAGTGAACATTACTGATTTGCCTTGGATTCCAGACATGTCTTTCTCATGAATTCATAAACCAATGTGTATCAATCAATCTGCCCTTGCTGAAACTAGCCCTAGTACTGCTGTATCAGTTGTATGAACAATTGCAGAATTGTATTGTTGAAGGCTTTCATGACTGGAATCACTGGGTTCTCGTAGGTTTTTCGGGATATATGGCCATGTTCTAGAAGAATTCTCTCCTGACATTTTGCCTGCATCTGTGGCAAGCATCCTCAGAGGTTGTGGCCTCACAACCTCTGAGGATGTTTGCCACAGATGCAGGCGAAACATCAGGAAAGCATTCTTCTAGAACATGGCCATATAGCCCGAAAAACCTACGGGAACCCAATTGCAGAATTGTGTTTAATGGCATAGCCAGTCGTGAAACACTGACATGGAAAGCAAGGGTCACATAATACCATCCACATGATATTCCATTTGCAGAATTTTATGCTAAGCTGGGCCAACAGCCATCATGGAGCATTTGTTATCATCCCAAAAGGAGTATATTTTCTGATTGGAAAAGGCATCTAAATGTTAAGAGCTTTCTCCCAGCACCCTTCTATCAAGAAATCCTGTTCTACCTATGGTACAGAAAAACAGGAGACATTGCAAATAAATGGATAATGGGAAACTTACCAAAAGTTCTCAGCCCGAAACTAAGATGACATAAACCTAACAGAAACCTTTTAATGTGCTCTCTCAGTTTCTTTGACTTTCAGTTTCTTTGTCTCTCTCAGTTTCTTTGTCCTTCTTTATTTATATAGAAATCTGAGCACATATTTCATAAGCTCAAAGGTTGCCTCACCCCTTACACAACTTTACTTACATGTAAACATCAATTTCTCTTTTTGAAATGCTGTGACTGAACCACTGAGTTGTCCCAATCCCACCTGCTTACTCAAAAGTAGGTGACATTCTAAGAGTAACTTACTTTTAAAACACCTATTCTCTTCTACAATTTATTAAAGATAAAATAAAAATATTTATAGCACTAGCAAATATTTATACTTTAAGCCAAGCATGGGCAAACGAAGACCCAGGGGCAGGAAGTGGTCCACTGGCTGCTTACCTCAGACCTTTCTCATTTTCCCTGTCCTCTAGCGGAAGGACACGGCATCCTGCCATGTCCTTATGCCAAAAAAATGGGGGAGGAAGGCACATGGTGTGCTCTCAGCCACTGTGTGTCTCACCCTCCTCCCGGCATAAGGACGGTGTAAACGGCCCCATCCTTATACCAGGAGGATAGCTCGAGGAAAGTACATGGTGGATGAAAGCCCTACAAAGGACTCAGTCATCACCTGTCTCATCTTTCTCCCAGCATAGTGCCAAGAGGACAGCCCAAGGATTGGGGGAAGAGGACTGGGGCAGTCACCACATGTCCTGCCTTCCTCCTGGAATAAGGATGAGATGAGCAGCTTTATGCTGGACGACAACTTGAGTATGACCCGGGTCCTGCCTTGACCCCTCCTGGCCCTGCCATCTCCTGGACCCTCCCCACCCAATATGTGCCTGGTCCCCCCATTTCCTGGCCCGGCCTGACTCTCCCAGCTGACACCGCAATCTGGCCCCAAGGCAAAAAAGTTTGCCCATGCCTGCTTTAAGCATTAATTTGACATTTAAGCACAACTAAATATTAATCACTAAATTTCATCCTTGTTTAAAATTTCTATCACTTTTTTACTATTTAAGCTATTTTTTACTACTTGCTATCAGTTTGTCCATCTTTGCATAGCCTTGAAATGTGTCATCTGCTCCAGCCACTGTGGTAACTCAGATTCTTTCCATTCCTGTGCATTGATGTCTAAGTAGGAACCTAAAGAATACTTGAATGTTTTCTCATCCTTGAGAAAAATGTCCTTATTTAAAGAGTCAACCTTGTGAGATAATTCATAAAATCACAGAATAATAGAGTTGGAAGAAACTACATGGGCCATTCAATCCAACCCTTTGCCTTGTAGGAAAAGCACAAGGCACTTCAGGATGTTGTTATGAAAGAAATCAAAACGTGTTTTGTCAAAGAAAGTGTTTTCAGGAGCAATATATTATCCCACGAACATTTATTTTGCACAAAATCTACATTTTCCTTCAAAATGTTGGCAAGGTTTTTTGCACAGAAACTCGCTTACTGTGAAATAGTACTCAGCCAGGAGTGGTTTTACCCTTTTCTCCCCTGCGGGAGGATGAGAACACATGGCATGCCCCAGCATCTGTGCACTTCAATCATGCCTGTTCAGTTAAGATAGACATGATTTTTTCATTATCCTCTTCTCCAGTGCATATCAGCTTCCTCCCGCTATACAAAACATGAGTGGAATGTAATTGCTTTTTAGGGCTAGATAGGAATTATTTATTGTTCCCGATTATCCATTTGCAAAAAAAAAATAATAATCCATGACTTCATTCTATTATGTGTCTGTAGTTGCATTATTTAGCCGTTACTTCCCTCTTACAATTAGTAGATTGCAGATAAATCAATTGCTCAGTGGTTTATCTTCCAGAAGCACATATTGACAATTTCCCCTTTGTGGTTGCATCCCTTCAGGTCATTTCTGGTATATGGGAATCCAAAGGTAAACCTATCACAGGGTTTTCTTGGCAAGATGTATTCAGAAGCATTGTGACTTGCCATAAGGATCCATGACTGAGCAGAATCTTCAAAATCCTAGTCCAATGCTCAAACTACTATACCACACTGGGGCTGGATCTACAGTGCCATATAAACCAGATTATCAAATCAGATAGTCCACATTATCTGCTTTGAACTGGATTGTATGAGTCTACACTGCCATATATTCCAGTTCACATAATATGGATGTTATATGTCAGTTTATATGAGGTCTCACTCTCCCTACCTATCTCTTATTGCTAATGAAATCAGATGTGATTATGTATGGGACATCTTTGCCCTGTGTGGCACTCATCTTACTGAAAATCAGCTTTGGAAGGGACATGAAATCAGATATCATCTCTGAGGTCCCTTCTACACTGCCATATAATCCACATTATCAAAGCAGATAATCCACACTATCTGCTTTTGAACTGGATTATATGAGTCTACACTGCCATATAATCCATTTCAAAGCAGATAGTCTTGATTTTATATGGCGTTGTAGATGGGACCTTTCTTCTTCTGAACATTGGCTGTTCTGCTAAAAAGAAAATCCTGCAGCCTACAGGGGAATTTTCACACTACTGGGTCCTATCTACACTGCCAATATTGTCATGGTGGAATTTAAAGGGTTCTGCATGAGGCAACAGAAACAACCTCCTTTGCAGCAGAAGCTCTCCCCTTCTGGTTTAAGGAGTAGGCATACACCAATTGTCTTCTTTCTAATTGAGGACAGTCAATTAATTTAAAATACAAATTAATTTAAAATACAAGTAGCGAGGGAATACTGTATATAACAGATGTGAGTTGCAGAGTAAATCACAGACTTCTTCCTCTGGGGCTGGAGAGGGCCATCAAGGCAGCTTCCGCTGGGGCTTCCTCCGGGGCCAAAGAGGGCCACCAAGGCAGCTTCCACTGGGGCCAGAGAGGGCCACCAAGGTAGCTTCCACCGAGGCCAAAGAGGACCGCCAAGGCAGCTTCCACCAGGGCTTCTTTCTGGTCGCTCTTCCTCAGGTTACCGGGTGAGAGCCCCATGCCAGTGGGGAAACAGCGAGGGAGGGAGAAGGGTGGCTCCAGCAAGGGAGGGGGGAAAGGGAGGGGGAAAGAGGAGAAAGAGAGAGAGAGAGAGAGAGGAGTGGGCGGAGCTATACTGTACATTTACTGTATAGCGTCCCTACATCACAGTTTTTCACTTATTGCGATAAGTGAGGGAACACTGTACCAATGGTCTTTGTAGTAGGAAAGGACTTTATACAAAGGAATATTTACAATACAACAGATGACTGACACTCTCCTCAAACCCTTCTGTCAGACCTTCTTACTTACAAAAGGTTTTCTCCTTCTTCTGGAACTTTGGAGCTTTTGCTAAATCAATACCAACTCTCAAACACCAACCCTCAACAAAACAGAAGCTTTGTACTACATTAGTACTTTTACAACTGCTCCGCCCTGGCTGTAAATTACATAAGACTAACTAGGTGGTTTGATTCTTAATCCTCACAGTATGCTTGGGCTTGATACTTATATTTTCTTACATTTTCTTATTGATACTTAAGAAATGACAAATTTAAGAACTCCGACAAATGCAATACAACAGTTCAATACAATCAAACTGTATTAAATGAGTCTACAGTGACCATATCGTGCTGTTTCAAACTGCATTACATGGCAATGTAGAGGGTAGCACAATCACAGCATTATTATTTCACTTTAATTGTCATAATGTGTTTTTTTTTTTTTTGGTGTCGTGTCAGGAGCGACTTGAGAAATGGCAAGTCGTTTCTGGTGTGAGAGAATTGGCCGTCTGCAAGTTGCCCAGGGGATGCCCAGATGATTTTTGATGTTTTTATCATCCTTGTGGGAGGCTTCTCACATGTCCCCGCACGAGGAGCTGGAGTTGATAGAGGGAGCTCATCCGCCTCTCCCCGGATTCGGACCTACGACCTGTCGGTCTTCAGTCCTGCCGGCACAGGGGTTTAACCCACTGCGCCACCGGGGGCTCCAATTGTCATAATTGCAACATACTATAAGATCCTGAGATTTGCCTTTTTGGGGAAAACTCTCAGCTAGAGAACTCTTGTGTCTCAGGTTCCCAGGTTCCACCGGACATAGCCATGGCACTTAAAGGAGAATGAGAATGAGAATACTGTAATAGTGTACTGTGAAATGATCCCCAAGTGTAGAACATGGCAACATATCATCAGGGAGAAAAAACAGGATTACAGAATAGGAAGAGGAAGCAGGAAATTTCATATGAGAAAGTACAAAGAGGTCGTCAGTGGAGGAACTTAGGAAATAAAGAACAAATTTATTTATGCAAATACCCTTTGGTTGAGGACTGTAAGCTAGAAGGGTGAAATTTGAGTACATTGGCAGGAAATGACTTTCCACATCCTTCTTGCTCTAGGATGTGATAGACCTCATTATGCAATGCTGAAGCCCTTACTTTAGTTCACGCAGGAAGTGGTAAAAGTATGTCAATAAAATCGCATTTGCAGGATTGCATCCAGTTCCTCATTCATGAGCTAAATCTTGGGACTTGTTACATTAGTTCCCAATAGGCTTGTTTGARCCCCCCCCCCCCAAAACAAAATTGGTTCAAAATTGTTTCGCATATAGGGGGCGGTGGTTTGAGTCTAAAGAAAACAGCTTTGGCTGACCAGTAAMTGGGTTGTTGTAGGTTTTTTCGGGCTGTATGGCCATGGTCTAGAGGCATTCTCTCCTGATGTTTCGCCTGCACTTTGGCAAGCATCCTCAGAGGTAGTGAGGTCTGTTGGAGCTAGGCAAAAGGGTTTATATATCTGTGGAATGACCAYGGTGAGACAAAGGACTCTTCTCTGTTAGAGCCCGAAAAAACCTACAACAACCCAGTGATTCCGGCCATGAAAGCCTTCGACAATACATTGACCAGTAATTATTTTTGTTTTCTATTCCCCATTTTTAAAAATGGGGACAATATTTGTCCTCCTTCTGTCTGCTGGAACTTCTCCTGCTAATTCTTTTACTGCCCTTAGGTGTAATTCTTTTGGTCCTGGAGATGTCAATGCATTTCGAGTAGCCCGATATCACTGTACTGCTTCTTTACCTATTCTGTGCTGCATTTCCCCACTG